GATAAGTATATAAATATATATAAAACAGCCATGAGCATAGGTCATTATAAATAAACCAACATACACATTCATTATTTAGAAAGCCCTTGAAATTTTTAAGAATTTAAAAATATTTTTGAATTTGAAAAAATTAAAAACAGTAAGAGATACAAAATTCTGATAAAGTTTAAAAACAGTATATAACAAAACAGTAACATTTTATTTTTAAAATGATTCTTCCTATGATGGACAATAAAAATTTTAGGTTCTCATCGTTAGATAGATAAATATAATTTATTCTCTTTCTGTTTCTACACAGACAAATATAGAAAAAAAATTTTTTTTTATTAATTTTTACATTTTATCAATTTTGTCATAGTCGGTTGGCGTCTTTTTAATCAGTCATTTTTTTTTCAAATACAATCTGTTAAATTAAAATGTAAGAGAGAGAGAGAGAGAGAGAGAGAGAGAGAGAGAGAGAGAGAGAGATTATTACTATTAGGATACTTAATGTATGAGTGACAAACATAGTATATGTATGTATATGTATTTTTATTTAATTAAATAAAATAATTAAAATATTAAATAAATTATTTAAAAAAATTGTTTTTCAATTTAAAAAACACAGCCTAAACAACTTAACTGATACACATCCATAACTCTAATCGTAATGCAGATCAAAAAACAAAACGAGACAAAACGAAACAAAATTACGAAACGAAATTTACCTGGAAGATGGCCATCCAACTCTTGTTTCGATCAAACATATCAAGCTCTTCAACCGGACCCATGGCAATTTATTATTATTTTATTGCAAAGTAAACGTTTCGGAAAAAAATAATTAACAATTTTAATGAATCACTAATAAATTTAAAAACAAATTAACAAGACGCTAGCCCGTTTTGAGGAGAAAAATGACAAAAAATCCCAAAGGGATGAACGATGACGATAATACAATTTAATAAAACGCATAGACAAACAATTTTATGAACCGTATGAAAATACAAAGACCTATTAACACGTTAAATGTATGCCATTTAATATACATATAATATATACGCTATACCCAGAGTTTATACGAGCTTTCTTCCCAAACTATGTTATCCATTTTTAAGAAAATAATTTTTATGATATTTTACTGAAAAGACATCTGCTTCTTTGAACTTAAATTTTTCATTAACTTGTAACTACTTAAATATGTTATAACTCTATTAAAGACATATGTTTGTTTTGTTATATACCAATAATTATTTTAAAAGTATTTTAAAAAACAATAACGCTTGTAAATTTATTTGTAATTTTAGTAAAAATTCAAACATCATATATATGAAACATATCATTAACCATTATTAGTATTAACGTTGCCGAAATTTGTACACAATTACTGTACTATTGACATAGGAACATCATTCTGACTTCTGTTGTTGTTGTTTTCATTGAATTTATGTCTTTCATACTAATATTGATCTGGAGCAACCTTTTAAGTCCTTTCCTTCGAAAGAGAAATTATGTGATCAGCGCTTATATACAGACACAGACAGACAAACCACACACATAGTGCTTAGATGTTCCTAAGCTTATGTTGGTTTTCAGTTTACAGAATTTGAATTGAGATGCTAAATAACATTGTAAAAAAGTGACAAGTTTCAAGTACACTTTTCAGGATAATAAATTTTTAAGAAAGTAAAATAAATTTTCATTTTTGATGAAAAATTTGCCAAAATGGCTAAAAAATTTGATCTCTAGCATCTCGATAATTTATTTTACATTGTATTTTAAATAGTCAATGGAGCGTAACGAGCAATAAATCCTTACAATCATATTCGTCGTCGTTGTCATCATCACCATAATCATCATTATCATCATCTTCTTCATCATTACCATCATCATCTTTATCATTATCATCATCATCCTAGTCATCATCGTCATCTTGGTCATTATCATCATCTTGATCATTATTATCATCCTAATCATCATCGTCATCTTGATCATCATCGTCATCTTCATCATTATCATCATCTTGATCATCTTCATCGTCCTCATCATTATCATCATCATCGTCGTCGTCGTCGTCTAGATCATCATCACAACTCAACAACAGCAACCATCAATTATAAATAAAGGTGTGCGCGCGTAATTATTTTCAAGTAGGCAATCCTCATTATGTCATTAATTATATGTGCGGTACACACACACACACACACACACAAACACACACATACACAGACACATACACTCAGACGTATAATATATAATTAGGCAATTGTTTATTTACTCATTTATCTATTTATATACTAAACATGCAATTATATCCTGTTATACATATACACGCACGCACACACACACACACGCACACACTGCATGACTATGCGTGTGTGTGTGTGTTTGTTTTTGTGTGTTTGTATACAATAAAAGATTGAATAAAAGAATTAAAGAGAAAGAAAGAGAGAGAGAGAATATTAAAGTTCATATTCGTATAAAAAAAAATGGAAAATAGTTATCACGTGAAAAAAACAAATGTATAAACAAACAAACACATAAATACAAATACTTAAACAAACAAATGAATCAAAAATATTTAAGCAAACAAACAAAATAATGCATCAGTGTCACGCGGCAAGAAAGTGTTAATCCTTATGTTATTGGGGGTCATTTATGTTTGTATGTATGTTTGTATGTATGTGTGTGTGCGTGCGTTCGTGTGTGTGTGTGAATGTATGTGTGTGTGTATTTATTTATATTTTTTATACATTGAAAAATAATTTCATCGCTACTACTATTGTTGCTAATGCTAAAAATAACAATGATAACGATAAAAATTGTTTGTTTTGTCATAAATTGTACAAATTATTAACAACTAAAACACGAACTATACTGCTTATAAAAAAAAACCAAAACCAAAACAAAAAAAACAAAAATAAGAGGAAGAACAAAAATTAAAAAAGAATCTATCGCTGATAGAAACATGACATACATTCAATCATTCATTCATTTAATTGGTTGGCGTATACACCGACGCCGACCAATAAACGAATAAATGAATGCAGAACATTTCCATAGAAGACCTTGACCTTAGCATCTTGAAACGTCACTTCCGCGAGGTCAGTCCGGGGTCAAATTAAGATGGCGGGCGGTCAGTTTGTTTTGACGATGATGATGGCGATGACGATGATGAAGTCAATGATGAAATTGATAATAATAATAGTTATTAATAATAGTTATAAAATTGATAAATGATAATAATGATGATAATTCACGAAAACATGCGTGTGTAAAAATTCAATTCACTTTTATTAATGTATTCAAACAGTTAACAACGCAACAGACATGTATCCACACGTATATGTACACGTGCAAAACACATACACACACGCCCGCTGGCACGCACGCACACACAGACAACAAACATACAATCGCACACACGCACGCACACATACGTCCAATGAAAGTTTGAAGTTGTCTGGACCTCTGATCACAACCGCCCTTGAATTTGCACACTACTTGGTCATCAACTGACCAGAAATTAATTTATAAAATAATTATAACAATTATATTTATTATTATTTATTATTCTTGTTAATTAATTAATTAATTAATGTTCATTCATGTTATTAATAACACACAGACGTAGGCATGTACATATGTACATTCACGCACATACAATCAAACATACACACAGTTTTAATTAAAAGTTATAATTAATGATAATAATTTTAAATCTATCCACCCTTGTCGCAACCACACCAGCGACAACTACTTCCAAGCACACTGACAATTTCTACGACAACTTAACAATGAAAAAAAATCTTTTTCAAGTGATGCTGCAACAATATTGAAGAAAAAATGTAATGAAGTAAATAAGAATAGCGTGGAGTAAATGAACTGTTACGCCAAGCCATTAGAGTCCATAAGGATGTTGCGCAAGACGAGCACCACAACACACATCATACCGTTGCGTAACTCGCTGTAAGACGGGCCTCTTCTGAGTAATTAAACGACTCAATATTGTCCACTTGTACTTCTGCTAGAGTCCTGAAAAATGATTGCCTATTATCAATCAGCAGTGGTGTATCCAAGGTGGGGGCACTATGGGGCTGAGCCCCCCCCCTCAATGGACGAAATAGAAAATCCAGTTGGAGCTAAGGTTAAATTTCTATTCTGACCATGCCACGGTCATCACTCTTTTTGTTGCGTTCTAATATAACTTATATTGTGATTTATAATTTATACATTTTTGTTTATTTTCATAAAGCAACAAATGTAAGGATAATAATGTTAGTTGAAAAATTTTAAAAATATCTTATACAAAACAAACTAAAAAAAATTCAGTTTGGCATGGAGAAGAGAAAAATATTAGACGGAAAAAAACGAATGCAAACAACACATACAGACACATACAGACACATACAACCAGTCGTACGTATGATTGTACAAACAAATGTACAGACATGTGTACAAACATAGATAGAAACGTACTAATTAAATAATAAGTTGTCAGTCTGACATAATGTCTGTACGTACATCTCACTAAAACAAATTCTGCACTTTACCTCGTGATTTATTAGACACCTTGTGTGCCTTCCATTTCACGTCTGCATTACCTATACACCTACGCTGACACACACACACACGCACGCACGCACACACACACGCATAGTCACATATCTGCATACATTATCAGTATTTCTATCATTTATACTGCGTGTCTCTCTACACTGTATCATTTTGAGAATCCTTGATGGAGCTGTAGAGAAATAATGCTCCATCTTAAATCTCTATTTTTGTAAATGTGTTACTAAATCGAGATAAGAAAATTTAAAAAAAATCTTTCTAGTCCTGTACGTCTTGTAAAATTAAAATAAATATTGGACATATTGCGTGGCGTCAAATGGGTTGAGTCGGAAGAAATATAGGTGGGTAGGTAGGTAGGTACTTTGCCTGCAAACATGCCAGGTTCAAATTTGTGGTACATCAATTGGTTAATGTTCAATAAGTCGATTAATGTATAAACCAACCGGTTGATTTATAGAACAACCAGCAAATAACAACCATTATAGATCAACCAGTATAGATCAACCATTAGTTAAATTTTCTGTAACTTGCAATTGAATATTGACGACAGCAAGCGATCAAAGACATATCATTATGATGATAACCGCTCATAAATACGAATGCATTATTAAATTATATAATGAAATTTTGGTTAAACAGTTAAGTTTTCGTTTAATTTGTAATATTTAACAATTCGCTGAATAGTTTTAAAAATAACCATCAAACTAATAAAATAAATTACACACATAAGAACAAAACAAATGGTGACACCAAAAACTCTGCTCTCTGATTGGTTGTTGAAGACGTGAAACTCGCGTTCTCATTGGTTGGAAAGCAACGACAAGGACACTTGTCAACGGTTGCTTAATAAAAGAGGCATTTGTTACGGGGTCCGTTAGTGCCGGCAAGTTGAAACAAATCTGTCGCTGTTGTTGTGATTCGTATTTCATAAGTTGTTGTAGGCAAATATTTTAAATATTAAAATAATAATAATATAATAATGCAATAATAATACCAATTCATCTAAGAAGCTACTAAAACTTGATTATATGATGTACGTGACTTCAAAAATTGTAAAGCTTGCGATTCATTGATCGAGTTTGTAAACTTTAAATATGACTAAAAGATCCTTCGACGTCGAATCTCTAATTAGAAAAACTACCGCTGGCGATGACGTAGAAGAATTAAATTTAAAAGTAAACTCAAATTTCAACGCTTCTCCAATAGATAACAAACCTTTCGTGGATAATGATCTACCACTGAACATGGCATACGAACCAAAAGTTACACCACCACACGCATCTTTCCAAAGCGCTCTTACAACCCATCGTCGACATCAGCTGCAACCACCAAGGTTGCAGCTGATGTCGAGCGTCTGCCAAGGAATGATTCACGCAGACGCAAGTTGTCGTACTCACGTGTGGCCCACCTGGTTTTCCATTATAAATCCGTATTTTAATAATTTTGCTTCTAAGTGTCCATCTAAATCTATCAATGATTCAAAAAGTGGAGAGTTGTCATTGGAGGAGGATAATAATGGCGTTAAAAATAAAACAAGTTTAGTTTCTGAATGTAGAAAGTGTGGCGATACTTCGGATGAGATAGAAGCAGGTGCAGCTACTGCAACAAACAACAGCGGCAGATGTGTGGCTGCTGTCAAATGCGAGAATATCGTCAGTGGGTGTATGTCATCGTGTTTTGAATCTTTCCGTGAACCTTTTTATTCGCCAATCCTTCAACAATCTCAGGGCTCTCAAAATGGTACACACATTTTTGTTTTTCGATTTTATTTAATATTTTTTATAGTAAAAATTTGTTTATTGAATGATTTTAAACAGAACACAAAATTAAATTAAATTTTAAATCTTGAATTTTAAACGTGTGTCAACCACTTAACTGTTATTAAATTTCGTTTTACACATAGGAAATTATTAAATAACAAATACACACAAATATTTTAAAAACTTTCTTTCAAAATAAACCACTACAACAACTTCATACCAATCACCCAACCAACCAACAAATACCAACAACCACCAACAGCCACCACCAACAAATACTCCACTCCAGGTTTCGTGAGCACCACATCAGGCCTCAAACAACCAGCCACCACCAGCGACAGTGAACTGGACGCAGCAGACGATACACCACACAACGCAAACTCAGACATCAAACGACTTCGTACAGCCTTCAGTAGTAAGCAGTTACTAGGCTTGGAAAAGGAATTTCTAAACGGCGGAATGTATCTTTCGAGGTTGAGAAGAATTGAAATAGCGGAAAATTTAAAACTATCGGAGAAACAGGTGAAGATATGGTTCCAGAACAGAAGGGTGAAACACAAGAAAGGCAGTGTAGAACAGGGAAGGTACTGTCAAGACAAAGCCGCACATATTTCCACATCCAGTAATTCCCAAACTGACAAGAAAATTGATATCGTGTCTAATATAAACTGCGGGAAACTACATTTACAACGCAATACACTCGACTTTCCTGAATATATTAACAATTGGAATAATTAATTTTATGTATAACGATTTATAACAGTAGTACGTAATATAACTAAGCCAGGTAAATAACGCTTGGTTGTTAGTTAAAAATGTCTCTGAATTCTCTTTGAATTGTAATCGAAATATATCTATTATAAGTCTAATTATTAGTTTTTCAAATACTTTTGCATTTATTTGTAACATTCATTTTATTTTTTATACCGAATTTTGTAATTTTCAAATATTCATGGCCATAAAATTTCAGATAGTGCTGGTGCAATACAAGTTTATATTTTTAGCCTCACCTAGCGAATAAAATTCGAGTTTACAACTCTCAGTTTTTGATTTACTCACTACTTCTAGATAAAACTAATCAAAAATAAAAATCATCTAATTAATTAATTTTTATTTGCACATTAAAAACCATTATTTTTGAATTTCAATACAAATTTATAAGTTAATTAAATAAATTTGTAAAAAAAAA